AATGATTCTGGATATAGTAAGAGAAAAAGACATAAAAGTAGGCAAACAAAACTAAAAAAAGTCACTGTGAGCTTCTTTTTCACCACTTTTCATCAGACTTTGATTTTAAGTGTGTTTCATTTTACTAGAATATTAGCTTTAGACTGGAGTTTAGTAGCTCACATTAGAAGTCAGGAGTCAATGACTGATTCCTCTGTGCCAATGATGAGGAAAGATGGAGAAGATTGATTCTTACACTTACATAGTTTCTCCTGGAGTTCACTTGTTTCTGCATAGCTGCTTATCCCTCAATATCAGCAGTAAAGACTATCCCAACCTTCACAAAATATTGTCAAAATATCTGTTTCTGAGTAGGTCATTAATTTTCAGGGACTTGCCAGCTATGCTACAAAGTAGGTGGGAAAAAATGTTGTGGTGCTTGGGTGTGATGCCAACAATAACTAGCTATTCACAGCTATGATTTCTCACCAAATAATTATAACTTTACTAGGGGAAAGAAAATAATACTAAGAATGAATATTTAATAACATTTATCCATTACCAAATCATTCTTAAGTTTTCTTTGGGAAAAGGAGCTAGGAACCCTTCTTATTGGCTGGAAATTTCCTCTAACTTTCTTGGGAATTGCAGACATGCTAAAAATACAGTCTGTATACCTATGTGGCAAGGATTATTCTCTTTTCCTGGTAGGATACATTCTCTGTCTAACATAGACGTCTCAAAGTTGTGTCATGTTTTTGAGCTTTTTGGCACTGTTTCCTTCCCAGTTCTGTTCCATAGAGCTCTTTGGACATTCCTGAAGGTGGGTGTTCCAATATTCAGTAAACTTCCTCCTGAAAATGTCACTGCTTCTTAGCATCATAATACTGTACTGTTTTAATATAATGTTCTTTGTCTCAATTTAGCATTGTTACTTTTGTCTGGTCAAAGAAAATCTAGAACAGGATCCTGGGGAAATAGTGATAATCAGATTCGTATTGTATTTCCTTTCCCTATGTAACTGGAGGTTCAGCTACTGCTTGATTGTATAATTCATTTGCAGTCCTTGTTGTAAGAGACCATGGTATTTTATTTCATTTTGGAGAGCTACTTATCACTTCCAGCTTTAATATAATGTCAGAGTCACATTAACATGCAGATGTATTACTATGGATATTCCATGCTCAGAATTTGCCTATCAATAGTAACTCAGTTTTTCTGGGCTCTCTGCACCCATGCAAATGCAAAGCTTCCTAGTAATATCATGGAGTGGATTTTGCATTTTTTTTTTTATCTGTGTTTTCCTGTAGGTCCTTTTTAAAAAATTACCTGTCCACGCACATAAAAGATCCAGTGTTGCAGGCACTTCTTCCTTTACATATTTTATGTGGACAATGTTTGTTCTTTTAAATTATTAGAATTTTGGTAGATAGTCTTAGGTCAAGATTCTTTTTCAGGTGCTTGAAGTTAAGCCCTGAAGAATGCATTTTGCTCCAGTTCAGTTTCCTAATGATCTAGATCACTGGGAGATGTGGAGAGCCATGTATTTGGGAAATTCAAGCCATTATCCAAACACAGGCTTGGGAGTTTAAACTCCTATTTTTGAAAATTTTGACTCCATTAATTACAGATTTTGACTTACATAGAGGGACCACTCTTTACTCCTTTAGATAATGTAAAATATAAAAAAAAATTAAGGAAGATACAGGAAGGGATTATGTGATGGAGTTCGCATTTTGCCCTGATATTTTGTTAATGCTAGGAGTTGGAAATGAGAGACATTAATGCCTCAAGTAAGAGAGGAGACAAAGATTACCAGCTGCAGAATTTATGAGATAAGCATTTATGACAGAAGGTACTTTTGGCTGAAATGTTACTCACACTCCTAGGAGAGAACCTGGGACTACTGAAAGTGCGACCATAAGACAAGTCCAACATCAGGGATGGGACATGATGGAACAGGAGAAGATGGTGGAAGTAATTGCAGAGGTGCATGTAACTTTTAATGATGCAGATGTGGAAAACAGAATTTGGTGGAAAGGGAGATCAAAGAAATGTCCAACATCAAGAAGTACTACCTAGGAGAAGAGAAACAGGATAACAGAATATAGCTACTATGGTAAAGAAAACATGGAAGGTAGAACAGGAAGGCAGAAGAGAGAAAGAGAGTGCTGGTACAAGAAAATAAGATATGAGTATAAAGGATAGCTGTGGATTAGAACCCAATGGAGAAAATGGACGATTCACACCTGATTTGAAAGAGAAGTACAGATGAGATGAAATGAGTTTCAAACATATGGAAGAACCCTCTTTAGGCCCTTGTGGAAAATGGACAGGACTGTGTGATTGGTATTCCTCACTAAGAAGAATCAACAGCTTGACACCAGAACAGGCCCAGAGCACAAAAAGGCATACTGTTTTTTAGGTGCTGGGATGAATGAAAGTAGACACAAATTGACAGAAAGTGTTTATGGTGGGAAAAATAAAACCAAAATTGCTATGTTATTACTAGACCAGAGAGGTAGCATTCTGAGAGAAGCAAAGCAGGGAACCTAAGTAGCACTGCTATCTTTTCTAGTGCAGAAAGAAGCAATGATAACACAAAGAACTGGGCTACCAAGACAGTTTGTAGGTTCCAGTTTATGGAATTAAGTTGGTAATTCATAAGGAAAGTTTTAAACAAATAAATGCAGAGAGAATGTGTGTGGGATTTTTTCACGGCAAGAGTGAAATTAGGTAAAGGGTAGCAAAAATACAGTTAAAGGGTACAAAGTTATTGTAAAACAAAAGAACACTAAAAGGAATAAAGAGAAATTTTTATAATGAGTAGAGTCACAGTCAAGTGGATGCTGCAGCTAAAATCATGTAATCTAGCCAGAGAACTAAATAGAATCAGAAAGAAATTGAAACAGGTAAAGACTGAAAGAAGTAAGGTAGAGAACCTAGAAAAGAAAGCAGAGGAATCTGAACAATGGATACATTACATGAATTTAAGTAATGTAGAGAAAAAAGAGACATAATAGAAGAGTCAGAAGAACTGAGAAATACCTGTTAAAGAGTATACAGTATTCAGTGAAGAAAGTAAATGTACAGAGCAGGCATGATACATGTTTAGATGTAGAATGCTGAAGAACGATGAGGAAAAGGAGCATGCATAGAAGACAGTAGATATTCTATCTGGGGAAGAAATTAAGAAAATTATTTTATGAACAGATATTGAAGATCAGTTTTACATGTTGCCAGTGTTCCCTTTAACATTAATGTAGGAATAATTTTAATAGGCATTGTGTTGGGGACATTAATTTCTCTGACACATATTGGAGAGCAATTGCTATTGGTAATTTTAAGACCATCAGTAATGCTGAGAAGAGAACAATGGAGAACATTTGGGGACAGATTTTATTTAGCATTTTCACAGTATAAAGTGTTACACTGGAAGATGATCATAAGGTTTCGTGATGCCATAAAGTGAAGAGGTATTGCCAATGTCCAGCAGGATCAGACTATCATATGAGGAGCATTGTAATACTTTGAAAATTATGATGCTAGATAGAAATTGGCATATGTTATGTGGAAAATGTACAAGTGTTTTTGAAATAAGCCAGGGATTCATTAGCTGAAGACAACAGACATCGAAATTGGAATGTAGATGTGAAATTGCTAACCTAAGGCTGAGAAGAGTCAAGGAGATTGGCTGATCACAGGACCACCCTGCAATGCAGAAGTTGAAGAAGGCGAAAGTGACCATAGGACAGCTGTGGTGAGTTATTTCTGAGAGGGGAAGGGAGGCAATCCGTGGCTGAGCAACTGCCCTCATCCATGCTCAGGGAAGTGAGCTGCCCCAAAACAGAAGAGGGATGCTTGATTGATGGGGACTTGAGACTCTGCCTAGGAGAGAATTTAAAATAAATTCTCAAGAGGACTGAAAGGGAATGTCATGGTAAATACACTGTGTGTTCAAATTGAACTGGGAAGGAGAAGAAACATTTTGGTTACTAAAAGTGCAAGATTGTGGAGCAGCTGTCCTAGTGCAACAGAAGAGGTAAGACACTAGCGGATTTTAAGATGGAGTCCCAGGCCCCACAGAGCCTGGTGCTGCTCTCTGGGTGGAGTCCAGTCCTGCTGCCTTCCCTTAATGTCTCCAGTGAAGCCAGGGGGGTGGCAGTGCTGTCACTGCCATCACCAGAGCCCTGCTTGGGGGCTGCAGACCTGCACCCACCACAAGGCCCCTGCCTGGACTATGTGTGGCAGATACATGCAGCTCCTGACTTGTCTCAGTGGGCAGCCCCACTCCCCTACTCCCTGGCAATTCCATCCTCTGGGGCATTTCTAGAACAAGGCAAACCTGTGATGGTCATGTGGTCTAAGGACTCTTACAGAGCCTGTGATAATATTGATCCAGGTCCTAATATCCTAATAAAAGTGACAATTATGCACTGTGAGTTCTGCATGGTTTTCTGTAATGCACTGGTTGTAATTTCTTCACAGCTGTTCCAGGGAGATCAACATCACTGTATGTATTTTCTGGTTGGAGAAACAGCAGCCAGGTACTCAAAATCCACCAAGCAAATCAGGGACAGAGACTGAAGCAGAACTGAACTCTTCCCAAAGAGCTCTGCTGGGGGTCTGTACAATGTCTGCTTGGAGAGACCTCTAGAGAGAGAGAGACATATTTCTTAGGGTAGCCTGTTTCACGGCAGTTGACACAGGCCTGTAGACTGTGCTAATGCTTTGACCAGGACCTAATATGCTAAATAACCAGACATCAGATTTAAGTTTAAAAGATGCCCATTTTTGATGGCAATGTTAAGAATGGAAGAACAAAAATACTTGTGTTGGTTATAGTACTGAAAATATATTTTAAAAAGTTTGGAACAATCAGTCATTGCTCTAATGGCCAAAATGCCCCAGATGGTCTCAGCAAAAGGATCTAGTCACAGTATTTGGCCGAAACTCCCTAAAATGCCATTTTCTCTTGCATTTTCATGAACTCAACAGTTTTTCCTGTCTCTTCCACTCAGGAAATAAACTCTTTTCAGTGCTGTAATGGAGGACTGTGAAACCCTGCATCAGAACCTGTGACTGGAACTAGGCATCTCTCCTGTTGCATGATACAGCATATCATCTGTGTCTTGCATGCAGTTAAAAGTAAGAGCTACATCCATTAATGTGCTTACAGTTGGGGAGTACATTCCCTAAATTGCATTTTTTTTACAATCTGATCACAACGTGTTGTACAAGGACTCAGTTGATTATGTTTTCCATTTTTTCAATGGACATAATATCCATTAAAAAAAAAATTAAAAAAAAATCAGATCCTCTGATTATTTAAATGAGTGTAGCTTTTGGATTGGCTTATGCCAGCTGAGAATATGTCTCCATTTGTCCTAGTAACATCTAACCTCAGCTCACTCTGGTATTCAATGCTTTACCTAGAACAGACTTGGCTAAATCCTTCTGTCTGCTTATGTAGTATAAAGTGATTTTAAAATTACTGGAACAAGCAGCAGAGGTTTTCCTGCAGCAACGGAATCCTTTGCCTGCAGAAAGTTCATGGCATTATGGAAGCATTTTTTGCATTGGTCATGTTTTCACCCTTGAAATAAATGAAAGCCATTTGCCATATGTGAAGAGTGGAGCAGACTAATACTGAGGTATGTTTGCCAAGGCTATTCATCCAGTGGAAAATAAAAGGACCTATTTATAAATTCACATCCCCTGGGATTAAGGAATTACAATCAGCTTTTCTTTTTCTTCCCTTTTTTTTTTATCCATTTCCTCTACCATTTTCAAATATAGACCCATTAGAGTAGAAAATCTAACTCTCAGTGCAAATGTATTGAGTGCACAAAACTGGTATGTGTCTATATTTTGGGAAGTTAGCCACTTGTCATGCTCTACTGGGACTTATAGACACATGTACTCAGACAGCAGTTTATATGCTGGGACTTTTCACATAATTTAGTGGTATACTGTTAGTTTATATAAACATGTGCAGTCTATGCAAAATTCTCTACATGTGACAGCACTGAAATCATGAGTGAACCAAATGAGGTGAACAAAGTTAAATCTGAGTATAGAAGCTCAGCAGGATTCTAGACAAAAAAGCACTAGAGACTTTAAAATAAAAAAAGGAAATGTTTGTTAAATGTTTGTTGGATGATATTGAAAGTATAAACAATACCAGCAATGTCAGTTTCTTCATTCTATAGTGCCCATGAACATCCCAAATTTTGTATGAATGTCCAACTATGTGCCATTTTAAAACAAAATGACCCTCCCATAATTATTCCTTTTAACTATTAATGTGTTCTCAAACAAACATACGCTTGCATTTATATGTAGACAGATATCACTGACCTGTGTTTTCTATTGTGCTAATAATTTAAAACATAAATATTTTAAATAATCTATGTTTGTCTCCTTTGTTAAAATAGGCTCCTACTTGAATATCTGAATGTTGTAGTTTTTAGGAAACTGTATGAAACTAAGACATCATGTGACCACGCAATGCCTGATGAACAAAGATTGTGGTTTTATGTTCAAAGAACTTTTTGATGAGCCTGATTTAACACGACTTACTCAGAAGAAATTTGGGCAGTGGCCTTATAGTCCTTGTTCTACTCGTTAAAACTAAGAGGCATTTGGGATGAATGACGCTATAGGAGCAAGTTTACTCAGATGTTGTTTGCCCTCAGGTGCTATTTTGCTGACATAGATGATGATTTGGTTTATCCCTACCTTGTAGCATGTAAATACCAAAATTGTAATTTGTTAAAAAAAATTTTTTTTTTTGTATGAATGATGTAAGAATAATATTAAAGATGGAAGAAGGAGTAGGTTATCTATTTTGCTCCTACCACCTTGCATCTGGAAATTTCTTAGTTTGATATTTGAAAGCATTTGTGGCATGTTTTTTACAAAGTGTAAGTGATGGAAGAAGATTCTGAATGAGGAAGTAAGAGAGGACACAGAGGAACCTAAGGTCCAGAGAATCTAGTATGAAGGCCACTTGCTTGTTGAAATAACTGCTATTTGCAGCTGAGAATGCTCATCAGGTTCCAAATATTTGGCTGTGGTTCTCTTTCCATAAACATTGGAGTCACATCATACACGTCTACAGGGCTCAGCCACACTTCTTTTGCCTTTGCCTCTCTGCCTCTAGTGGTGCAGCCAACACTACAGTCCAGAACACGCTCCTTATCGTTCGTAGTTCCTTCTTTTAAACCTCTTAAAGTTTGTTTTGGGGCTGCAACAGGCAAGACTTTTCCACCACCTATCTCTAATTCAGGATTGATGACCTCTTTGGACATTGACAAACCAGGTTTTTCTTATGCTTCATGAGAATCTGATCTTAACCTACATGTTGATAGAAATAGCTGGTGATGTTTCAACTTTCAAGAACAGTTTTAAGCTTTAGGAGCTATCTCCACCCTGTTGACCTATTTAGCCTAAACAGTTTGCCAAGGCTTTGGAAATGCCAAAGGTTGTGCTAGTGAGTTCCATTTGAGTCTCCTACCTAAACAAAAGGGTGGAGAAATCCAGATGCAGTGTGATTCAGGAAGGCCAAAATCCCTGTAAGACTCCAGGAAAAATATTTATTTTTCATTTTTTAATCCAAACCAGAAGAAACAGCACATCTTTTTTGCCATGAACTCAGGCACAGGAGAAATTTGAACCATCACTGAAGGTGGAAATTCTGCGTACCTGACCTTACTCTTGTGTTTTTAAGCAGAACTGCAATGATTTTAGTGGAGTGTTTTGCTTAAAACAGAGGACAGTCTAGCACTTGGGAAATTTTGATTGTTTGCATTTAAATGTGCATGATAAAATGTTTTGACAGCTTTTTGCCTGCATGTTGACAATGTATGTGCAGGCAGTTTTACTTGTAGTTGCCATGTGAAAAGCAAACCCCGGGAGTTATCTGCCTGAACTGACAGCAAGAAAGTCTTCTCACTTCTCTGCAGTTTAGGTGTTTTGTTTATATATATATATATAAAAAATTCAACTTGCCACCAGTACTAACTGACAGACTTTGCCAAAATGGACCACTCTCGTCTTTTCACCGATACCTATTGGAGAAATCCTAGGAAGGGCTTCCTTATACCGTAGATATCCTGACCAGGAATGCAGTTTTAAAGTTTCACTAGAGCACTGTGGAGATGGTACCTACAGGAGGTTTTCCTTATTCTGATTTGTACTGAGTTTGGCTGGGAGAGAGTTAAATTTATTCATAGAAGATTGTGGGGGGCTATGTTTTGGATTTGTGATGAAAACGGTGTTGATAACACAGGGATGTTTTGGTTGCTGTTGAGTGATTACACAGAGTCAAGGTCTTTTCTGCTTCTCAGACTGCCTCACCAGTGAGTAGGCTAGGGGTGCATGTGCAAGAAGCTGAGAGGGGACACAGCTGGACAACCCCAACTGACCAAGGGGATATTCCAGATCATGTAGTGTCACCCTCAGCAATAAAAGCTGGGGGATGGAGGTTTTGTGGAGGTTGCCATTACTAGGGAACAGGCTGAGGATCAGTAGGTTGGTAGCGAGCAATTATTTTTATTTTCATCACATGTTTTTTTTTGATTGTCAATTTTTCTCCTCCATTTTTTCAAATAATTAAACTGTCTTTACCTCAACACACGTGTTTTCTCACTTTTATCCTTCTGATTCTCCCCTCCGTCCTGCTGTGGGAGTGTGAGTGAGTGGCTGTATGGTACTTAGCTGCTTAGCATGGTTAAACCGTAAAAACAATTGTGCCATATCAGCCCATTTGCCTCTCTTCTGAATCCCTGGAAATCATAGTTCATAATGTGGTGTGGGTAATTGCCATGAATGTGCATCTCCAGTGCTTAATTGGCCTTGTTTCTGCTCTGCTGCAGTCTAAACCAGTTTTCTTCCAATAGCAGAGGACAAAAAAATAAAGTGGATGAAATTCATCTGACTCAGTACAAACATCTACAATAAAAATAATCACTTCTGGCTGCCTTTGTAGTCGATGGAGAGAAACAAACATTTGTAGAGTATGATTCATCTCATTCCGAGGTAGATGTCTGTGCTGGTTTTGGGTGGGGTAGAGTTAATTTTCTTCACAGTGGCTAGTGTGGGGCTGCGTTTTGGATTTGTGCTGAACACAGGGTGGATAATATAGAGAAGGTTTTGTTATTGCTGAGCAGTGATTGCACAGAACCAAGGCCTTTTCTGCTTTCTGTACTGACATGCTGGCAAGGAAGTTGTGTGGGAAGTTGGGAGGAAACACAGCCAGGACAGGTGACCCCACCTGACCAAAGGGATATTCCATACCATATATCATCATGCTGAGTATATAAAGTGGGGATTAGAAGGAGAAAGGGGGGATGTTTGGAGTGATGGTGTTTGTCTTCCCAAGTAACCATCACACATGACGGGGCCCTGCTCTCCTGGAGGTGGCTGAACACCTGGCTGTCCATGGGAAGCAGGAGTTAATTCCTTATTTTGCTTTGCTTGTGTGCATGGCTTTTGCTTTCCCTACTAAGCTGTCTTTATCTCAATTCATGATTTTTCTATCTTTTACCCTTTGGATTCTCTTCTCGATCCTGCTGTTAGGGGAGTGAGTGAGGCTTGGATGCTGGCTGGAGTTAAACCACAATAGTGTCTAAACTAGTTTGCATGAATCATGTCCTGAAAATGTCTGATTCTCAGCATAATGAGAGCCTCTGGTGACAACTTCAGGTGTAGGTTTCTTCACTTTAGAAACCCTTATCCAAAGGGAGATGAAGTGAATCTTACCTAAAGAGATCTTAAGAGAAGATAAACTACCACATAAGGCCAGACCATCTGGCGTAATACCACCAAAGATTGATGCCTGAGACAAGTTACTTAAAGAATAACGCAAGACCAAGCAAGCATTATCTTTCCTTGTTATATTCTCCCAGCTTCTGGTAGGCAACAAACTACAGTCTCCATGTGCCAGAGGTTCCCCCCTGAAACCTGATGTCTTCTATGCATTTGTCTAGGCTAGTGAATTAATGTACCCCACTAGCTCTCCCCATCCAACTGTCCTCTGACGCTTCAGGATTCTTGTCCAGGATTAAAAGCGTCCTACTATTCCTACTCTGTCCACATATGGAATCTGTTTCAATCTAATCACTCTGACACTTTTGTCTATATTTTCTCTATTTCTATTATA